GTCTAAAATACGTGCGCAAAATCAATAGATTGTTTTCTATGGTAGGCATAGCTAACAAACAATGCGTTGAGTATATATAACCATTACCCATGAATGTCACCAACAACGGTTACAGGAGCTGAAATGTGAACTACATTACTTTCCAGCATTAATAGCTCTTTAGTTTTCTCACAAATTTCTTTAAGCAGAGATTCTGCGAGTAGTTGCTTTTGAAGTAACTGAGAGATACACGCATCAAGATCTAAGCCCATGATTATGAATTCGACCCTTGCGTAGAAAAGTACTGTCTTAAAAAAAATTAATTTTGAGAATGATGTGCATGCATATGTTAGATAATTATTTTATTATATTTTTATTTTGTAAAATAATTTTTTTTCGAACTATATTGGATTAATTCTAACTAATCAATGCAATATTTGAATATTCTATGATAAATCTGTAATTGGATAAGTAATTCTACATGATCTAATCCTAACTTGTCCTTTCAATTTGATCATGGAATAGCGACATTAAGACCTAGTTTTTTAAAGCGAATCGCTGTTTATATTTCGATATTTAGATTATTGCTCAGCATTAATAATTGTTCGGAATAGCAAAATCTATATTTTTTAAAAAATGTCACTTTGAAACCCATTGAAAAAAAAAACCGTACAGTATTTAAATTTTGCAAATGATACAAAGGATAAATCAACTTACATAAACTCAATTACAAAATAAACCTTCATTTCAAATTACTTTCTTTTAGGCTTACGCATTCTGGCCAACACTCTATTTTGCTGGTTTTGCTGGTTTTGCTGAGTGAATAACTGCCCAACACCGCTATTCATATTTATATTTGTGGGAGTACTCGAACCACTACCGGCTGAATTAGCATTATTATCAAAAATCACCGATTGAGGTGCGTTGAAACCAGAAGTTCCTCCATTTCCGCTGAAGGGAGTGAAGATCGATGTAGATGAGGGAACTTGTGGTATAAAGTTACTTTGAGGGTCTTGAAATTTAAATGTGGTCAAATTCGGTCCTTGTAAAGATGGTTGGGAAATGGGCATAGTTTGAAACGGATTTCCAGAATTTTTTTGACTTTCAGGAATATCAAATTTGAAAATTGAGCCAGTTGATGAAATTGGTTGAGTTGGAATAGTTGGCAAATCAGGTTTTTGAGAATTCATTTGGAAAGTAAACGCGCCAGGTTCGGACATCATCATTCGATTGGAACTACGTCCGTCAGAGGACTCTGTTTTAGGATTTAACAATATGTTGCGTCCTTCGTTACCAGATGATTCATAGGTACGTTTGTTCCGTTGTTTTCTAGGGTTAAATGGTCGATATTTAGAACCGTAACTTGATTGTGCATCTGTTGATGACATATCTCCAGAGTTAAAATTGAATGTCTGACCGCTATTGAAAGAAAGACTTTTTCCAAGATTCGGTCCGAAATTCGAATAATCGAAAGATGTAGAGGTAAAAGATAATGATTGTGTAATGGAAGCTTGATGGTTTACATTACTTGTGTCTATATCCATCGGAGATCCAGATAAGGGACTCGGAGCAAGTGTTTGTGTATGAGAACTATTAGGAGCAAACGGTGAACTTTTATCTTTAATATCCCCGATGGTTTCCTTTGAATTACTCGCCAATATAGATGACAAATTGGATGGATCTAAAGCTCCATCCTTCTTTGGTTCAAGCCCGGTATCATCCTTCTTTGATTCGAGCACGATTTCACCCTTTTTTGACTCAAGCGCTGTCTCATCTTTCTTTGATTCAGGCGCTGTCCCATCTTTCTTTGATTCAATTGAGGTCTCATCATTTTTTGATTCAAATTTACCATTATCTTTCTTTGATTCTAGAAAAGTCTCATCCTTCTTCGATTCTAGTGAGACCTCTTCCTTCTTTGGTTCAATCTCCTTAGGTCCGGTTAAAGTCTCATCACCTTTCGACTTAAGAGGAGTTTCAGAACTAGATGTTTTAAATGGTTCTTCCTTTTCATTAGCCATCTGACCCTCATTGTTTGGCGCAGATAAAGAATGTGGAACATCAAAAGAGATATTTGACTTCGCGGGACTATTTCCAAAGTCAAAATGAGACCTGGTTGAAATACTAGTTGTTGTTGCACTCAGTGCTTGGCTGCTAGATGTTCCAAAAAATGTTTTAATTGAATCAGAGGTTTCTAAATTAAACACTGACTTCGTTGACGTCGAAAAATTTAAAGATTTATCAGGTGTAAAAAGTGATCCAAAATTTGGTGAAGTTTTAGTTGAAGTAGAAGAATCTAGTGGTTTTTCTTTTTGTCCGTCAGGTGTCCCAAACGTAAAACTTTTTCCAAAATTAGATGCAGGTTTGGTTGGAGCAAGCATACCAAACTTGAGTTTGCTGGGTGTAGCATCATTTGAAGTAGCAGAAATTGAAGGCTTTTTTGTTTGTTCATTATATTTCTCAAATGTAAAATTGCCTCCAAAATCAGACATAGGTTTAGTTGAGGTGACTGAAAGTTGTTTTGTTTGATCACCAAGGTCTGATGCAGGTTCAGTTGATGCGGCTGAAAGCTCTTTTGTTTGATCACTGGTTAACGCAGACTTAGTCGATGCGGTCGAAGGTTCATTTATTTGATCACCGATCATAAACTTATTTCCAAGATCGGATGCAGGTTTAATTGAGGTGGCAGAAGGTTCTTTTTTTTGATCACTGGAAATCCCAAATGCAAACTTGCCTCCAAAATCAGGAGCAAGTTTAGTTGACGCGGCCAAAGGTTCTTCTGTTTGATCACTGGCCATCCCAGATGTAAACTTGGTCACGAGGTCGGATGCAGGTTTAGTTGAGGTGACTGAAGGTTGTTTTGTTTGATCGCCGGATACACCAAATGTAAACTTACTTACGAAACCGACAGCAGGTTTTGTTGACGTGACTGAGGCTTCTTTCGTTTGACCGTCGATAATCCCAAATGCAATCTTGCTTCCAATATTGGAGGTAGGGTCCTCTAAAGTATCAGAAATTAAAGGTTTTTTCGTTTGATCGTTGGGTGTCTCAAATTCAATATTGCTTCCAAAATCTGTGATCGATTTAGTTGAAGCAGCAGAATTTAAAGGTTTTTTCATCTGATCACTAGATGCTCCAAACGAGGACTTGCTTCCCAAATCAGTTGAGGTAGGAGTTAGAGACTTTTTTGTTTGATCAGCAGATATCCCTAATAAAAATCCGTTCCCAAAATCGGATGCAGATGAGGTCGAAGTATTGGAAGTTGAGATTTTTTTTGTTTGGTCAACAGATGCCAATTCGTTTCCAGAATTGAGCGTAGGTTCAATTACAGCAGAAGTTGATGATTTTTTTATTTGATCATCAGGTTTTTTAAGTGTTATCTTATTTTCAGTATTGGATGCAGAAGAAAGTGGAGTTTTTGCTTGAGTATCGGACATCTCGAGGGCAGATTTTGTTGAAACAGTAGAAACTGAAGGGTTTTGCGTTTGAATAGAAACAGTACCATTAATAGGCTGCTTTTTGGAAGTTGTACTCTTTGAAACAAGCGTCGGTTTTTTCTCACTATCATTTTTCTCTGAAGGATAATAATCAAACCAGTGAGCATCAGGCACAAGATTGGTCTTAAATTTTTTAAGGGGAGGTCCTTTGCTTGATGGTTTTTTGATTGCATGTGCTTCTTTTTTAGAGGATGACGATGCATCTGATGTAAATGATGAGAATGAGTCGTTTACTGTTAAATCTTTAAAAGGTTTATACCAATCTGATGGTATTTCTGAAAGTTCATTTTTGATTGGTAAGGAATCTTTCATCTCTCCAGGATACAGAAGGTCCTCCTCTCGTGCAGAAATGTGATTTGGTCTTGCTCGGGTGATGGTTCCCCGCCTTTGTGCAGAACTTGATTTTATTCGGCCTCCAAAAACTGCTGTCCCTCTTGAAGAACCTAACCTACTATATTTAACCTTTAATGAACTTCTACTAACTGCATTTAACTGAGATGATTGAATATGATTTTCTTCTCTTTCCACAATCGTTCCATGTAATTCATCAATAGAACTCTGAACTATATTTTCTGTTTCAGTTAAATTTGAACTAGAAGCCACTGAGGTATCCTCAGTTGCGACTCTTTGAGTTGTTTGAGGCCATATAAAATCTTTCAACCATCCCGGGAGGAACTTGCTAATAATGTTCGTTAGCCAGTGGGTTGGTTGAGAACTCGAATTAGCTGAGTTTGTAAATCTAGTATATGGTGTGTTTGTGTGATTACGTTTTTTGCTGTGTCGAATCGGACCACC